ATCACTACCACCAAGAGGCAATGAAGTTAGGTAAAAAATGACAAGATGCAGTATTAGGGCTGACCTTGTGTGACGTCTATCTTGGGTATCTCTCTATCCTCCAGTGGGTGCTCAGTGCTCAGTACTCCTGGACTGCCTTCAAACTGATCCCAGCTCTTATAGACCTGCTTCTCACACAGCAAATACCTACCCTATGCAGAACTAGGTTTTCCCTATTTAAAAAAAAACTGATTTTTCCAGGACCATGTAAATTTACAAGTGTATATTTAAATGAGAAATAAGATCTTCACGTAAAATTATATTTATTGCTGCATCTCTTTTTCAAAATTGAATCTGCTTGATATAGGTGTTATTGTTGTTTTTTCTGTTGTTTTGTTTTCTAGCTGTTTCTTTCATGGTCACAGACACAGTCCAGGTATTTTGATGTAGAAAACTTTACTTCTTAAAATGTACCAGCTACAACTGTCTGGACCTACAGACTAATCATGAAATGACTTTGTTAGATAATCAGATATGCAGGGACCCTCTGATAACTAGTGAGTCAGTTTTCCAAGATTCATAAAGAGTACTTGCAAATTCAGTTACCTACTCAAAATGCTGACAAATCAGACAGAAAAGCAAAGATTCTCAAATTAGCCTGCTCACTATGTTGTAGGTCCCATCATTTTTCCTATGTGCCTTAAAGAAAATGTGCCTCCCATTGCTTTTCTACATCTGAACTGTCTACATCCACGTAGTAGAAGTAATGTATGTCACGACTCCCTTCACGTGCAGCTGTCAGAGACAAAAGGGGCACTGTGCCTAAGAGATCTTTAGGGCTCCTTGATTCTCACCTCTCCCAACACTGGCCAGTATCAAGTCCTTGTAAACTCACTAATGGGAATGTGGTCAAGAGAAACAATAGCTCCGGCTCTACATGAGCTCAGTCTATCCTCAAAGTCTAAAAATCTAATTTTTAAAGTTTAAGTCATTATATTAATTTTAGCCTCTACCTACCTGCTCCCTCTATTACAACTTTTTTCCATTTATCTCAGTCTGTGGCATAAGGGGAAGAAATTATTCACAGAGCCTTTTTCTCTAGTTAAAGTCAGGAGTGACAAGTTCAGTAGTATCAAACATTCTAGTTCTGATTCTCAATATGTTTCACTGAGATGCTTGCTACCAATTCATGGAGGAAAAGTGTTGTGTCTTCTTCATGTTATTCCAAAGTGTATTTAAGTTGGCCACAGGTTAAGTTAGAAGAAAAAGACAAGCAAATGCCATTACAACATTGTAGATGTTATCTAAAACTTAAGTGCATTGGACTGGGTCCTTAATAACAAAGTTATATCTTTGTTTTTATTTTTTGCCTTAAGAGGTAACCTAACGTTTAAATTTACATTGTGATTGCAACCTTTCTTTTATAAGTTGAAGTGCATTATTTTGGTCCATTGAACAAACTTATTCTTATTCACTGCCTTTTAAAGTTGACATTTAACTTCCACAGCTATAGAGTTGGCAAGAAGCAAAAGAATATTTAATATTCAAGAGAACAGATTCTAAACTACTATCCCATTCTATTGTATGAAATGTCCTATAATTAATTATATTGACTGCTGGGAAGAATTACATATAGAACTAGTTGAGGACAGTTGAAGGTGCTCATATATTTATTTCCTTGCTAATACCCCTTAATCAAATAACAAAGACAAGCAATTCTAGCGATTCAAACAGGGATGATTTTCTAAAAGACCATGTCTTCTACATGCATTTACCAGAATAGAGTTGAGAACAACTTTTTGTTCTGCAGGCCTTGAGTCCCTGAATCAAACAGGACAAAAATTAGATGTTCTCCTTTCCATTATAATTTGATCTTCAACATCAGAAATAATTAACCTATTCATTCAAGATATAACTATGGTGCACCTGCTGTGGGTCAGGCTTTCCATTAGGCACTAGGGATGAATCTGTGACAGTCTTAACCTTCAGGGCATAGAATTTAGTAAGAAAGAAAAGAATGTGAGTCATTATTTAAAAGATGAATAATGTTAAGATAAAAACAGCACAGTGCTATGGGCACCCAGAAGGAAGGGTCCAAGTAAGTCATGAGAGTCAAGGTGACAATAAGTAATAGAAAAGTCCTCTGGAAGAGGTGGACTATCAGATGAGACTTATCGATTTCAGAGTTAAGATTGAACACATTGAATCTTGCTTTCTCAAATATTCCAGAATAAGTGCATAGAGTCTTTTTAAAAAATAAAAAACTCACAAGGACAGAGAACAGAAAGGACAAGAGAAATTTTTGGAGCTTAAGAGAAAATCTACAAGTAGCCTCTAGCTTAACAGAAAGCTGAATCCTAAATCTACAAAGGAGAATGGGGGGAGGGTTGCTATTGGAGAATTGAGGCTGGAGCTCCAGGCGAACTCCCTGCTATACTCTGCTGAGCAACTGCCCCTCACTTCCTCCAGTAGGAGCTTGAAACTTCATTCCCTGGAAAGGGTAAAGGAGAAAGTCTTTGGTCAACAACACAATTTTGTGACTTAAAATAATGAAACATTAGTATTAATATCCCAGTACAATTGCCCTTCACTGCAAGAGCACAGAACTGAGGTAGGATAGAAATAAAGATAGGTAGAAAGAATACAAGCAAAAATCATAATTTTTAAATTGTACTTTTAGGAAACGGCAGCTTTGAGAAACAATCAAAGTTACCCAAGTCTACGATACCATTATATTTCCTTTCCAAAGAAACTCACTCCAAAAATCCCTGAGTCTTAAAAGATACAATGAGCCCTTCTTTACTTCGCACCTGTAAATTGAGTCCTGCTTTCTTTAGATTCAAATAGTCCACGGGTTTTCACCCCCCAAAATACATAAATATCCCCAACCCTAGACAGGAATGCCACTCAATCTTTGAGCACCTGCACTCCCTTCTGAGTGTGTACTTCTTTGATTCTGTCTAGCAAAAGTGTGTATGCCTTTTACTGATGAGTCCTGTGATTCTTTTCCATGATGAGTCAAGAAACTACTCTGCATGTAGAGGCAAGCTGAGGTCTCCATCTCCTCTGAGATTTCCTCAGTCCTCATCTGGTGGCAACATCAGCTTTTCACCTTTTTGATGGGAGATTCAGGAGGTTCTTCTGGTAATCTGATCCACCAAAGAGAAAAGACTGAAATTCTAACACTTGAACTGCTTTGAAAAAAATGCCCCATCTAGATTCCTCAAGTGAAGCTCCCAGTCAACAAGTCTTACTCACAGGCTCTAAGCTCCATCTCTTCTTATCCATAAACAGTAAAGTGGGGACTGGTTACCAGCCATGAGAAACAAGATGCCTCTAATGTGGAAGACACATACCATACAAATGAAAAACAAAGAAAAAACAGGTTGGAATAACAGAGACTATGCATGAGGAAGGAAATTTTAAAATTAAAATATGTTTATTATGCCTAGATGGATAAGAAGAGATATTATGGTCATAAAACCTGACAGGGAATATATAACAACAGAATAACTTGGAAACAAACAGGATATTCAGAAGACAATTCAGTAGTCGGGTTGAAGTAATAGAAAAGAAAGTAGATATTAAAGACAAAAAGACCAATAAACTTAATGAATAATAAAAAAGACAAAAAGAAAATAAGAGAGAAGAGACAAGAAAATTAGATGACAGGCCAAGTGACTCAACATCTAATCATCTAAATGATTTTCAAAAGAGATAACGCAGAAAACAAGATAAACTAAGATGAGATAAGTTAAATAAAGCAAGAAAATGTATGTGAACCCACATGAATTTACAGACTGAAAGGGTTCACCAAGTGTACAGTAAAGCAATTCCTAAGTAGACATCAGCTACCATTCTAATTGTTTTACATGTATTAACATACTTAATCTTCACAATAATCCTGTAATATATAACCCAATACTTAGAATTTCATCATGCTTGTAAGTATATTTCCACACCACTCATCTACCCATTATGATAGTTCTTTAGGAAGATGAGTGGATAAAGAATTTTTTTGTAGTAACAATTTATACTATACCCAAAAATAAGTATAATTCTTTTATTAGTAAAAATATTAATCTCTTGCTGTTTGGTCAATTCTCATTGTTCACAGTAATGCTCGGTAAAGTTGGGGCAAACAGTGCATTAGCAAATATCCAAACATTGCTCTTAGGGGAAATAGAAGGTTAGGGTTCTGCCAGCCTCTGGCCACAACATATCACTAAGGGATTGACCTTATTCTTTGTGTATTTCTGTTTAAAGACATCTTATTTGGAATTTTTTTTTTTTTGGTACCAGGGATCAAACTCAGGTCCTTGCACTTGCAAGGCAGGCGCCGGAAACACTGAGCTAAATCCTCAGCCCCTTATTTAGAATATATTTTTGATTCACTAACATTGGACTCACCACTAACTATACCTTTTTCCCGGATGAAGTTTGACTAACACAAGTACTTTCTGCACTTGATCTTAGCCAAAAGGCCGAGAAGCCATACAAGTACTTTCTTTAAGAGGCACAGCATAGCCTTCTTGCATTAGAAGACGACATGACACTTCAGCAGTATGCTCAAGGGACACTTTAACAATTAACATAAAGCATGAAAGATGGAAAAATATGCCACTAAAGAGACTGAACAAGACACTTGTTTATAGTATAGGGGCTGAAACAAGAAGGCAGGTCAGCTTTTTATTTGACCTCAGCTAGAAGTTTGCAGATCAAGTGACTTAAAATTTTTGGCTAGGTCTACAAATAACACATCAGTACAGGTATGATTCAGAGGTTACAAATAAATTTTAGAGAGTAGGAGCATTCACAAATACAGAATATGTAATGAGTGTGGACTGACTGTTTTAGTATTACTATTATTATTATTACTAATGCTATAGCTCTTGATGGACAGAAATCTTTCCTTAAAGGAAAGCCCAAGATGTCATATAAAGGGTATGCTTTCACTCCTTCAAGCAAACCTCTGGAATCAATAATTTTATGCAATCTGCAGCAATTTAAGAACTACTTACATTTTGCCCTGGTCTGGTGGATGTCTAGTAAAGACAGCCCCAAAGCCCGTGGCAGGTAATCCAGTGTTCCTATAAACAAGACAACAAGTTCTTGAAAACATGTCAGACTGGCATACATAAACTTTCCAAGTCATACAAAGCTACTTTGGAGCTGAATTTTGTGACTATTTTTAAGAGTTTCTATGTTTGTAAAATGTGTACACTTTGCAAAATAAAATGTACCAGCAAGTAAAATGAATTTTTAGTATTTTATCATTACTTTCACTGCATTTCTCTGTAATGACAATATAAGATAAAGTCTATGTCATGCACTTCTATCCAGAGGCACTGTGCCAGGGTGCAGGACTACAGATGTAACTAAGAAATAGTTCTTACAAAGAACACTCTCTGGGGAAACTCATTCACATAAACAACTGCATTCAAGTCCAACTGTTAAGTAGAACATAAAATACACAGATGGCAAGGATATCAGAGCATTTACTTCTGATTAATGACAACCTAATCCTCACTGCATTTCAGGCAACACTTCTAGGCACATTTCCTATTTTCTTTCATCTAAACTTCACAATGCCCTATGAAATGAACGCTTTCTCAAGTAAGTTGATGAAGTGGGGTTCAAACTACTCTGAACACTAGGCCAGAATAATGTATAAAGAAGAAATGAGATTTTTAGGCAGATCCAGAATAAGTACAGTGTTATCTAGTAAGCAACTGAGGAAAAAGAAATTCCAAACAGAGGGAGCATCTTTAGCCCAGAACATGGAAGCTTGAGACAAAAGCATTTGCTGGGGGTTTAGCTCAGTGGTTCCACTGTCTGCCTCGTAAGCGCAAGGTCCCAAGTTCGATCCCCGGTACCAAAAGAAAAGCATTTGATGTGTAGCTGGGGTCTCTATCCCTCTTGCTCCTGATAACAATCCTTTCCACATGTGCATATTCCGTAAGCTAGAGAAGGTTCTGGGAATACCTTTCGATCATCCCAGAGCACAGGGCTTCCTCATTTAATAAGGCCTTGCTCTTTATTTCAGCCAATTCTCTTTTTAAAAAAACTTGTGACATCTGTTCCTGTGTTTCTGACATCCAAATCTGAAAAAAAATAGAAGCCAAATATAAGAAAGATTAATCATCTACATGGTCAGTTTGTAAAATACACTCCTATTGAAGTACCTTCTGCTTTTAATTGTTGACTCTAGTTGACATTTAAAAAAAAGTAATATCTCAGGATCACAACGTAGGGAGAGACTCGGTCTCAAAATAAGAAAAAAACAATTTTTAAGGGCTGAATATAGCTCAGTTCAAAAGCCCTGGGTTCAACCTCCTGTACTGCAAAAAAAATTATCTCATAACCATCAACTATTCAACATAAATACCTAAAAATAGCAATTCTTTTTTTTTCCTTTTTTTTTTTTTGTACCAGGGATCAAACTCGGGTCCTTGTGCTTGCACAGTAGGCAGCGAAACCACTGAGCTAAATCCCGGGCCAAAATAGCAATTCTTTACTGTATTGTTGCTAGAAAAGACATTCAGCCAACTAAATACTCTACCTACTTTCTATCTCTATCTTTTTCCTTCTCAGGGTTGGTTTATTTTTACTTCTCTAAGTGATAAAACACTTGTAGCACTCACTTTGTAAATCAAAAAAGATTTCATTATTGTCACTGTCATCATTATTATTCATTCTCATAAGAATAATTCTTTGAATTGGCAAGCAATTATTACTGTGGGAGATCATCTGAAAATTGTAAGATATATTCAAATCAGTGATAGAAACATCATGGGTAAACAAAAGTGGTTGCTAAGGATTCAATATTTCCACCTTGAAAATAAATCTAGATCATAAATCTGGAGGTTCAGAGCATAGAACCAGAACTCACCACCAAGACAGACAGCTCATTATTTTTCCTGAACCTAAAGACTAGATTCCCTTAAAATATACACTGAAGGCTTAGAACACCTTAATCCCACTGGCTTAAAAACAAAAAAGAATGACTGCTCTTTAGAGACCTGGAGACTTCAACTGCAAGAGCATCACAGCTATAGTAAAAGACCTTTGGTCCATTTTGAGTTAGCAAAAAGGCTCAACTACAACTACAATCCTACCCTCCTTAAAAAGGAGCTTAATACAGTTTCTGGTCTTGGTCCCCTGGCCCATGCCACAGATTCTTGGCTTCTCTGATCACTGAGCTCCAAGAGTTCAACCTCCTAAGTCACTAGCTCCCAGTCCAATTCCCAGCTTTGCCCATCTTTTCAGCAGTAGAACATCCACAAATCCACCAGCCCTATATGACAGAAAGATATTGCCAAACCTGAAATAATGAGAAATTAAAAGAAATAGATAATAATAACATCTGTGGAGCTTAAGCTTGAGTACTTATTCTGTGCTAGACACTGTATTAAGCACTGTATGTGCATTATTTCATGTGACTGTTGTGCACCAATCATGATCTCAAAAGGAAAAAATAATCAAATTGGCAACTTAGGGAAATTTAATGGTCTGTTTATAAAAGTATTGGCAAGCATTACAAAAACCAACAATGTTGATTGAGGACAGCATTAGTGAAGAGACTTAGGTTAGGTCAGTTAATGGAACCCAGAAAAACCTAGAGCCATAGAGCATCACCTGACAGTTGTGACTTTCAGAACAAAGATACAGCTATCACCAAACTTTGGCATTACAAAGAGGAAGCCAGAGGAATAAATGGCCACACTCACTTTCCTTTTCCTTTTTCTGATCACCTGACAGTCCCTCCCTTGGGCCAAACCCAGTGAGACACCAGGGGACAAGTAAGCTTATTGATGCAATCCAGCACTTGGTTGAGAAGGATAGAAAGTAGATCTGGAAAGGCAAAGGAAAAATACATGACATAATTTATTTCCATAGTAGGAATGGGAGAACTGAAGCTGAAAGGGATTAATGCACAAGTAAACTAGTTAGAAAGTAGTTCTGTGATTTCAAAACTCATTCAATCTGGTTCATCCATTCATCTATCCATCCATATCTACAAAGCACCAGACATCATACTAGATTATAAGGTGCTGCAGTTTGGATAGGCTTAATTGTACCCTCCCTAAAACTTCATGTGGTTGGAAGATTGGTTTCCAGGATGGTGGGACTGGGAGGTGCTTTGGAACCTCTGAAGAGTGGGGTTTAGTGAGAGGTCCTTGGGTCATTAGGGATGTGAGGTACTCCTCTTGCAATCCCTTGGCAGTTCTTGAGAGAAGACTGGCATACAAGGAGCAAGCCTGGACCCACTCAGCCTGCCTCACTGTCTAACCCCCCCACAATGTGCTCTGGCACTTTCTGCCATGGAGCTCTCACCACAGCCTGTGCTAATTGTTTGAACTTTCACCCTCCAAACCTGTGATCTAAATAAACCTCTTTTTAAAAAATTAGTATTATATTGTAATGATGGAAAGCTGACAAATAATTAGGGAAGGAGTGATTAAAAAAAAAACCCTAAAAGGTTATATATACTGGTGGTGGCTCAGAGAATTACAATACATTGTGGGGATAATAATAACAACAATAGCACATGTCCAAACACAGTTCTAAGCGTTTTCATGTTAAGTGCTCGTTACAACTCTACTCTTCTCACTTTGCACATGAGGAAATAAAAGATAAAGAAAGTTTTAAGACAAGCAAAGCCACAACCTAGTAAGGAAAGGAGCCAAGAATCAAAGAGAAGCTGTCTGAACCCAGAGCCTACCATAACTTGTGTGTTTCCGGTATCACAGGAAAGTGTTAACCCCTAATATTAGGCCTTTGCTCTTCATGAGTAATGGAATCCCCACATTTTAGCTAGACACATCAAGTTGCGGCCCACATTTTCCAGCCTCCCTGATACTTAGATATTACAGACGACTAGATGGGACAATGGAGCATAAGTAGTGGTATATAGGCTCCAGGAAATTCTTTCTTTTCTTTTCCTCTTCCTGCTGCATACAAGTGAGCATAATGACTGGATTCCAGGAGCTGTCCTGAGTGCTATCCAAGGACTGGCACAGCAGAAAGATGGAAGGAGCAGGTAAGTATCTAGTGACAATCTGTGGGATTTCTATACCAGTCCGGGCCTGGTATCCTCCAGAAGTTTTGCATGGAAGGATAAAACCTTACGTGATGGCCTCTGTTGATTTCTGATTTCTAATACATGTAGGCAAACCCAATCCTACACCATCTTAATGTGAAAAATCGTTTTGGTGTTAAAATGTTCATAACCTGACATAAGTATGGGTAATTCATAAAAGTACTTTCATAGGTTTAAAAGTCTTTTAAGTTATATATATAAATCACAAACTGAACATTGTCAACTTAGTGCATGCAAAAGCCAAATTAACACAGTACAAACTTTAAAAATGATCATTAAAAGTTCCACTTAATTTTCATAATAAAATCTAGCTTGAGTCAAAGAGTAATATAGAAAATATCAAATGTATACAGGAAGCTCATTTCATAATATCATTCTTAATTCCTATTTTCTTGAGTATCAAATTTTTTAAGTTCTAATTTCTAAACTTCCAAAATAAATGCCCCCATATGTGCTGTTTTTAAGGAAACCTAGTAGACATAAATATTGGATAATGGATACAGAGAATGAGGAAATCACTGATAATTTCCTTTCAAGTTACATATTTGGAGGATAACCCAGTATCTTTCCACAGTGCATGACTTATTCTCTGGCAGAATCCTGGTAAGATTCATTTTAGATGATCTTCAATTGACAATTCTTTCTTGGGTTTCTGATAAGGCCTCAAGAAAGCAGACTCCTCTCATCTATACTGAAGGAAGAGCAGGTATTTCCGAGGTCAAGTTTTCCTTCTGATTCCATAGGCTATTTCTGGACCCCTCTAGCTTGCTATCTTTTATCTAACACGAATGAGACCACAGACTAGGGATGGCGAAACTTTTAAGAGTTTTCAGTGATACAAACAGTCCACTGTGGCATTCATGCCATAGGTTTGCCACCACTGCCCTAAACAGACCCTCAAGTCCCCCAATCTCCAGGGCGTACTTCAAGTTTCCAGGGTGGTATCCATGAGGTGTTGCAGTGTACAACCATGGCAGAGTAAAGTATGAATGATTACTCGGAGATGAGATTTAGTACATTCATTGAGAGGGCCCTCTCAACTGAGAGCAGCCAACATGAAGAAGACTCCCAGGAGAAGCCCTGAAGCCAAGAACTTTCCAGCTTTTATTTAGAATACCAGTATAAGCGAAAAAAGCAGAAGAAAAGCAGCTTGCGCAAGGAGCTGTCTCACGGCTAAACAGTTTTGCTTGGGGAAAGAGGAAGGACAACAGCCAAGACCCAACATGCTTCACTAATCTAAACCTCTTGTTGTTTAACCTTTCACTTCTCACAGAGCCTGTATGGTTTTGTCCCAAAATTTAGCCATTCACTCCTCAGCCAAGTTCCTCACGACGAAGCTCTAATGCATAAGGTGTGAAATGAAGGGCATACACTTCCCGCCCCCTACCCTCTGAAAGTGGGACCACGGTGGTCTCCTCTCTCCTCTCTCTCTGTCCTCTCCTCTCCTCTCTTCACCTCTCCCTCTCTCTCCTCTCTCCCTCCCTGCCTCTCCCCTCTTCTTCTTCTTTCTTCTTGTTGTTGTTGTTCTTCCTCCTCCTCCTCCTCTTCTTTCTCTCTCCTCGCCCCCCCCTCCCCCACATATCTCCCCATCATGATTCCTCTACATTCTATACTTTTATACTTTTATCCAGGTCTTCTCAATTTCATTAATTTTTGATTTGTTTATATTTAAATCTTCCAGATGAAAAAGACCAAGAAGTTAATGCTTTGCATGTCCTACATGAGTAGTTTGCCAGTTCACTTGGAATAAAGTTAGGATCTTAGATCTTCAGTCATAAAGAAGGAAGAGCCTTATTTTAGCCTGTAATATAACATTCTCCCTACCAAGGGTAGCATTTGAGCATCATTGCCAAGACATCAGCATGAATAATAAGTGATACCAAGCCTTTGTTAAAAGTCTTTACTTTTAAAAATCATCACAAGGGAATTCTTATTTTTCAGCAACAGTTTGGCAGTTTTTCCCTTGGAAATCCTGTTTCTTTTTTCACATCTAGGTTAATT